GAAACCTTGTTAGATCAACGATAACTCCTCCTTGTATTGATATTACTGTGAAAACGGTGAGAAGTCTTTAAACACACAATCACAGCTTCAGTGGTGTCCCTGAGGTTTAGCAGAAGATAAGGTAATTAACACTTTTTTGCCTTCCAGATCTACTATTTACAGTCTTTTGTGACACATTTTTTTAAAACTCCTGAGACCAGTTTTACTCTGACAGGCCCTCACAAGATCCCATATTTGACTTGTTAAAATACCCACATTTAAACTCACATTAAAAATACATAAACACACAAACACACATTATGTTGCTCTGTTCATCAGTGGACGGGATTCAGTGAACTCAATTCAAATGGACATATCCTTAAAATATGAAGCCAGGTTGTTAAAAACACGTTTGTTTTGTTTTTTTGTGTGTTTTTAAGGAACAGTCACACCATCTATTGTAAATATGTCAGGTAACACGTTTTAAGTATTTATTTTACTAATTAATTTAACAGACATTTTCAAAGTGCTTTTTGGCCATTTTTGCAAGAAAGTACAACATTTCAGGCAATTAGGATTTTGTTTTGCAGATGTTCTCCTTTTTTATGAAGAGGTCTTGAAAATTCTGGCCTGGAAAAGTATGGATTTTTCAAATGGAGCATGCACCACCTATTATGTCCCAGATAACTTTCATCAACAAATTCATTGTATGAGTTTCCAAAACAGGTTCCTTAAAGGTCAATTTTACTGACAACCCATTTTTTATTGATCATTTCTTATTATAATGGGTCACTCTGACTTTTTCATGCAGACTGAACATGAAACTAGTCTCCTACACCTATTTCCTGCATCAGCTTCTGATAGAAAATAGACGGTGAAACTCTAGGATTAGAAAATCCTGACAGATCTACGTCACGCTGTTACTTAACATTCACGACAGGGAAGGCTGTTGTTGGTTTAGCGTCCAGGAAACAGCAGAGAACGTCTCGACTAGTAGAAGCTACCCATTAGCATTAGCAAACCCGCCCCACAGCAGAACTCCTCCAGGCTTGCGTCATTTGCAAAGCAAACAAAGTCAGTGGTAGAGTTGTGTTGCTTTTGGCCAATAAGGGGCCAGATATCCAAACCTCAGAAAATTAGACTCCAGATCCTGCTGTCTGAAGCTACTTTCTCCTCCAGGTAATTTCTCCATCATCAAACAGGCACATGCTTTCCCCCCAAAGTACGACTTACTAGAGAGCACTGCAAATTTATGAAAAATATGAGTAAAGTTGATCTTTAATGCAAAACATTTAGCTAATAGGAAATATGCACACGGACCACAAATTAAAGAGATAAATTTCATGAAAAAGCAAGAAAAACAACAGAAAGCAGTTGATTCACCTAAAATTTATCATATGTGAAGCACCAAAGGAGAGACAAACTAAATAGCATTGGCTCCATGCTGCGATTCTGTTAGACTGAAGGTTATAAATCATGTACGATTATCTTTGTTTCCTGTAGCTGATGCTAACTGACGTGCACTTTTGTATCATAAACATGAGCTCTGCCTGGTAGGGGCAGACTGTGAGAGAGCTGCTTTGGAGCACGAAGCAGGAAGCTCGGAGGGTGAAATTCTAATTCCATACACTGTGAAAGGTTTTGTGAGGAGAGACGTCTTCTCTACACCAAACGAGGCATGACAGCTACCGCTCCGTTCACCGTAGAATACATACCCAAGATAAATGGAATGGCAGCATTCCTTTAAACTTGTATCTGCCTTTGAACTGAGCTCTGATCAAGAGAAAGTTTCCAAGCAGTTTCATTGGGAGGAGAGTACATGTTTGAGGAAGTTTTATTGTATTTTAATTGCTCAAAACTCAGCCTATTGTGAGGGTAATATAGAGTTTTCAGGAAAGGAAATTGTTAGTTGTACCTCTGGTGTTCAACAAGAGTTTACCCAAGAAGCTAGGACCCCTTTGATGCATGTATTGGCTTATTTAAATAAGCTAGGTATACGTCTAGAAAACCAACCTTACTGACACACACCGTGGTTATTGTTATCGTAAAAGTAAAGCTTCAGGTGTATGTACCATAAAAATATGAAATAACCATTTTCTTTAAGTTTCTAACGATAACAATGCAAGTATATGTACAGTTTTATCAGATTATAAGATACAAAGCCAAAGAAGAAATGCCAGCGATGGTTGAGTCTGCCGGTAGAAGCAAGAGAGAATTGTGTAAAGAACAGGGAAACAGGTGTACCAGAGAAGCTCAGAGGAGTATTAAAGGTGGACGAGTTTCACAACCTTAGGTCAACCATCCAAAGCAAACGACACAGTGGTGAAGAACAGAGGAGAAATTGGAAACAAGTGCTGGGGCAGAGGGAGGTTGGAAGAGGAAGTGTGCTAGATGAGGTGAGGCCTGCTAGGATGGATGGTTTGGAGAGTCGGATGTTAGGCTTGACTTGAGTATGTCAGACATGAGCATGGGCATAGGACAGAGGTGGATATGGTGAATGAAGGATGATGAACATGGGCCTTATATAGAGGAAAGTGGAATGACAGCAGAAAATCACATCAGGTGTGACAGAGGGGTAAGACGCTAGGGATAGGTGAGATAGAGGCTACTGTGGTGATCTCTTGGGCCTGGTTCTGGATACTTATACCAGTTTTTGCCCTGATTTCCCCCTTTCAACAGTCTTAAGGACACCCTGATTACCATAATAGCTCTAAAGATAATCTTATCAGATAATCCTACTGTGTGTGGTGTGTTTATAGTGCTCTAGTCTAACCAGAAGAACACTGAGACAGCTTTAATCATAAACTGGGGATTTTCAACCTGTTGGATTGTCTTAGCCTGAAATATCGAGGACATGTGAACGTGCTGCAGGTTAAATGTCTAGACAATTAGAAAGCACGGTGTCGGAGGCATGCTGCACACTTCTCCTCCTACATGTTTGTTTATTCTGAAGTCAGGTTTGATTTCAAGACGTTATGTGAGATTTTCTGTATTACAGAGGAATGTTTGTGAGTGAACCACACTGTTTGAGTGTTTGAGACATCATACTGTAGGACCAAATAGTTTTATCTGAGTTTTTTTATTATCACTTAAGGTGTGTCTTATGTTTGGAAAATCTCTGAACCATTTTAATATCTTGCCTCGTAACCCGAGCTTTAAACGAGCAATAAGAACAAATTGTGATCTAATTTGTAAATGTTTGTTTTTATAGATAGAAATTTCTTAAAAATCACACAGTGATTATTTTTTTAATCATAAACAGAATCATTCAAGAAGGAAACTGGACTTCTTTGGTTTCTTGAAGATGTTTTGTTTCTCATCCGAGGAGCTTTGTCAGTTCTAACATAACATTCTAAATAAGTGAGAGTCAAGCTTATAAACTGTACCTGTCTATTGCTGCTTAACGAGCAGAAACTACTCTGCGTACCCCGCCTCTCTACCCCTGATGAGTTGTTGGCCTCTACTGAGAATGAGTCATTGTGTTGATTAGATGCAGGAAGGTGTGGCCTAGACTGAAACTGCTTAGGAATGAAATTCAAAGCTGCATTATAGGTGCTGGGAAGGTGCAATCTAACACCCCCCCCCCCCCCCCCCATTTAAGGTGGGTTTTTTTCCACATTTGACTGAGATAGCTTCTTTTACTCCTCTCTCAAACCATCTATCTTCTCTGTCCAGAATGTGCACTTTGTCATTTTAAGTGTGTCCCTTGTCCTTCAGGTGAAGGTGGACTGCAGAGTCTTGACCTGAAGAGGTGGCTCTCCTGTGTTGTGTTATGTTCTTGTGTAATTGTTGTTTAGTTTCCTTGATGTAACGGTCTGGACAGTTCTCACTACACTGGACTGCATAAACGACGCCACTGAGCTTCTGTTTGGGTGTTTTGTCTTCTGGATGGACCAGGTTCTGTCTGAGGGTGTTGTTGGGTTTAAAGTTTACCGGGATGTTGTGTTTGGAGAAGATTCTTCTAAGTTTCTCTGAGACTCCTGCCACGTACGGGATGATGGTGCCTTTGCACCTGTTGTCCTTCTCTTTGCTGGTTGCTGTTTTGGCCGCTTTTCCAGACTTCTTTGTAGAATTCACAAAGGCCCAGTTAGGGCATCTGCAGTTTAGGAGAACTTTCTTGATGTGTTTTTCTTCCCTTTGTTTTCCTTCAGTCTTTGTGGGAATGTTCTCAGCCGATTGTGTAAAGTCCTGATTACTGACTCGTGGAAAATACTGAACCTGTGTGAAAGAGGTCAGATATGTCCCCTTGGATGCTGAGCTGTAGTTATTGGTCTCCGGTTCTGTTTCACACGGGGTTTCTAGTGTTTCTTAGTCACATCCAATCTACAAATGGATGTGTCAAATTATTTCATCAGCTTTGATTCCAGGCAGCATCTCATTCATAATGTTGGACTGATGTTGATGATCTCTTGGAAGAATTTTATTTGAGGTCTCAGCTTTTCCATTTGCTAAATATCCTTTTTGGCCTTCCCACTTTCCTAAAACCACAATGCTTTATTTTTCTACTCAACCCTAATCTACCCCCCCACCCCCCCATACTGTCCCTCTATCTCCTCCAATTCCCAGCTAATTAAGTGTTCCTCTCTAATTCCTAACCAAACCCGTCCTGTACCATTCTTCCCTCCTCTTCTCCCTAAACCCTCATTAGTTTTTTCACCTTGCACCCTTCCTTCCTTCCTTCCTCCCTGCCTTCCTTCCTTCCTTCCTAGGTCCTTGTTCTCCCTGACAACAAAATTGATTATGTAATGTTTGTCTCTCTTGTACTTATGCAAATTCAAGCATTTTTATTTACATGTGTTTTTCCCTCCCTCCACCCCCCCACCTGCTTCCTTCTCTTTTCCTCATTAATTATTTCTATTTTTCATCTTCTTTCCCACACTCTCTCCCTCCATCCTTCTGTTTGCATCACCTCCTTTATTCCACCTCCCCACTTTACTACAACAACCTTATTCTCCTCTTTATTTCTCTCCCTTCCCTCTTCATCCATCCATCATTTTTCCTCCCCTCCCTCCTTCCTCCAGCCACCAGCGGTCTCGAGGCAGAGAGTGGAAGGCGCGGCGTCAGCTGCAGCAGCCACGGCGATGGCAACCACAGCAGCAGCGTCGGAGGAGGTGGCGGCGGTGGCAGCATTGGTGGTGGCAGCGCGGCCCATTTCAGGTCTCCATGGCAACAGAGTGTGAACGTGTTTGGCTCGTGGAGCAGGCCGGAGTGTGTCGAAGAGCTTCACCAGCAGGCTCAGCTCAACCTCCAGAGCCTGCTGCAAGGTAAGGATGGAAAACAGCAGGCGAGGGATGGAGGAATGGATGGCTGGAGGGAGGGAACGAAGAGGTGTGTGTGTTGGGATGGGAGTGTGTGTGCTGTAATTTGAGTGGGTGGGAAAGGCATTAAGGGAAGGGGTGGTAGGGAAAGTGTTTACGTGTGTGTGTGTGTGTGTGTGTGTGGTGTTGGACTGCGCTTGAAAAGGGTGTGTGACGACCCCTGTAAACATGCAGACATGCAACCTGTGTGTGTGTTCTCCAATTTAATCATGTGTTTACGTATATTGCAGTTTAAGAAACGTAAGCGTGTGTGTGATGTTGATGGATGTGTGTTGCATTCACCTTGCAGTGTTGTTTTTTTAAGTATGTTGGGTGCATTTCTTAGCAGAATCAACACTGATGAGAGGTTGATGTGGCACGTTAGTGGTTTTCTCAGCTAATGTGTGTGTTTTTGCGATGGAAGTAAGTCATCGGTGTGAAAACTGAAGGTGGGATTCCATCGTTTTAACAATAATCTCTTGTTTACGGAAGATGCTGCTCTGCTGCGTTAAATCCGTGCTCATGGGAGCGAAGACTCTTCTGTATTTCTGTTCCTTTTCCTCTTCACCAGCTGGCTTTCTCTCTCGTTTTCTACATCTCTTCATGTGACTCATGCCGTCTTTGCCTTTCCTTGTCCTTTCCATTAAAACAATGGCATCTGGACGAACACGGGGGAGGAAATGTGGCAAACTATAACACTTGAGTGAGGAAGTGAATTCATCACACATCATATTTCGATGCTATTTTGCTCTGATCTTTGATTAAAATCTCTCTTTAAGCTGTTTGGGCAGAAATGTGGTGGGTCTCTTATGCCTGATGTCGTCATCCCACACCAGAATGTTACCTCCACAGACTGTTTGGAAGGAAATCTTAAATAGTCTAAATAATGATGCACAAATTACCTCAATGATCCAGTTTAGCTGTAATTCTGGAGCAAACGTCTCTGTTCATTGCTCCTGGTTGTAGAGTGAAGTGTGTAGCTGTAGAAGTTTGTTTTTATGGTAATGCTGCCTTAAGCACACTGATAAACAATCCATCATGCCGTAGATCTAACAAGCTGTTGGAAACACCCCTCAGAGGTTCTGATCCTTACCGACATGACACCATCACAAAGTTTTATTATTGATGGGAATCTCCAGTTCCACCACATCCCAAAGGTTCTGGACTAATTGAGTTCTGGTAACCGTAGAGGTCATTGGAGTCCAGTGAACCTATCGTTAGAGACGATGTGAGCTTTGTGACACGGTGCTTTATCCTGCTGGAAGTAGCCATCAGAAAATGGGTCCATGTGGTCATAAAGGGGTGGACACGTTCAGGAGAAACACTCAGGTAAGCTGTGGTGTTTAAAACAAGCTCAGGTGGTGCTAAGAGGTCAGGTGGTACAAGGTGGGTAAGAACATCTCCGCACCATTATTACACCACCAGCAGCAGCCTGAAGCATTGATACAAGGCAGGATGGATCCATGCTTTCATGTTGGTGACACCAAATTCTGACCCAAACATCTGAACGTTACAGCTGAGATCCACACTCGAGCATTTTTCCTCGTCCAGTTCTGGTGATCCTGTGTGAACTGTAGCCTCGCATTCCCGTTCTTAGCCAGGTGAATTCTGGAACCATGGTTATTCTTTACTACTGTTGTCTTTCTATAATTCACAACCAGTCTCACCATCTTCCTCTGACCTCAACAATTTCTGCTAGCTGCATAGTTTCTCTTCTTCAGACCATTCTCTGTTAACCCCAGAGATGGGTGTGGGTGAAAGTCCCAGTAGATCAGCAGTTTTTACAGTATATATATAATATATATTATATATTATATATAATAAAAAGTATATCTGGTACCAACAACTGTTCCACGTGTAAAGCCACTTACATTTCCTTTCTTATCAATTCTGATGCTTAGCATGAACCTCTGTGGTTCATCTTCACCTCTTCTAGGGCAAGTCAACACAAGCCGATTTTACAAAACAATGCCTTCAATTTGCCGCAATGCCGTGGCGGCATCAGGGAGACTTCGGTCGTTTATAAATAATCAGACCGTGGCGGCAATGTTGCACAACTGTGTCCTTTTTACAAAAGATTGTGCGATTGCGACATAAGGGGAGTGTGGGAGCGGACTCGGCACTGCAGCAGACTTCTGTTTATCTTGGACATAAATAGCTTTTTGTTGCGACTGAAGCTGCGATCGCTATGCTCCTAAAGGTGCCTGTCCTCCACATTCCCTGTACAGTGTCTGGTGACCTGACCTCCAGCTCTAAGGGAGAGAAACTCCTGGAGCGCTGCATGGCTCCGGTTTATCATCTCAGCTGATTCTGGTTAGAAAAGCGAAACTTACAGCCCGCGTTTACTTCCATTTTCAATACAGTTGCCGGCCAGAGCTCGGCAGTAACTCCCCATGTGATCATGACACCTTCTTCTGTTCCACCACGGCGCAATCTCCGTTTATAAGTCAAATATTTACCACAATATTACTACCAAGCGAGGCGGAACGAATGCCGCAAAATTTGCGCAACGCCATGCTGGCATGACAAGACACACCGTTGTGGTAACTACGCCGGCATGGTGTGTCTTGTAAAAAGGGCTACTGCTGTTCATATGGATGGATTATTTGTGAATCTGTGTCAGTTCAGTTCCACTTAATTATAAATATTAGGTATTATGGTGATTTCATGAGAGGTGTCGAGAGTTTAAATGACCCAAACAACCAACAGCGGCAGAAGGAGGTGAACGTACTGGAGTTAAAAACAGTGATTGTGATTATGTCACTTTGTGTGTGTTGCTTTAATAAAATGAACAGATGCATTGAAACGTCTTTTACTAATGAGGATTTGGAACTTACCAATCAGAGAAAGAAGACGTTTCCTGCATTAAGTGTCTCTGAGGCCCGAGGAAGCATGTTGAGCAGTTTTGCGTATGTGGTAGGGCTCTGGGCTTGTGGGACCAGGTTTGTGCTCACACAGGAGAAATGCTGCCTCAACAGCTTGTTCTGAGTTTTGGTATCAGCAGTGCACATCTGGTTTTTCCCATACCTGACTTCTGAGACCAATTAAAATCCTATCGCTGTTTAAAAGTAATGAAAACAAAGTAGTGTTGAAGCATTAGTGTGTTTGCACAATTAAAGACCATTCACATCATTTCTCTTCAGTAAGTTTGCAGTCTTTTAATGCATAAAAAAACACTTCACTAGACCTCTGCAGGATGTGCAGAAAGCCTTCATACATTTGTGTGAAATGCAGGTTTTGAATTGAAAATGGTTCTTTAGAAAATTTGGAACCTAATTGACGTCGAGGCAAGATTTAGACCAAAAATGTGTATCTCCTGTCTTCTCTCTGTAAACACCCAGTGAGTTATTCAACCACGTTTCCGAAAACACTCAGAAGTAAATGAAATAAATAACTGAGAATATCAAACACGTTGCATGTTATTCAGTAAGTTTTAAAGTTGTAAACTGCATCTGAGCTGAAAACCAAATGAAACTGTGTTTGTTTTGTTCATTCTGTGGATAAAAGGTGTGACTGGTTCAGTGTGTACTCCTACCATGTCAAACTTGAGTCACCTTTAGCAACACTCGTGTAGATATGAAGAGAGGTTCACCACAAATTGTCACCATCAGAAGATTAGGAAGCAAGGATTCAACCAACACACAGAATAACAAGCAATATAGGTTTGTTTACAGAGCACACATTATTGTTGTTTGACTAGACTAAAGATAATATGCTTGACTTGGCTTCAATTACTTGTCTTGAATTGCTTGACTAGACTTGATTTGACTTCGCTTGGCTTACTTGGTGTTATGAGCAGGTGTGGGTGTAACACAGAGGCGTGTGCAAGTTGGTAAAATGTAAACAATTTTATTATAAATAAGGATTTTAAAACACAACCCTCCATTTCTCAAGGGTTAATAAATGGTGTAAAAAATGCTAGTCATGACATGTTTAAAATGGTGATTCTCAATTAAAACATAACACACAAGATCGTCTGACCTTACTCTACGTTTGGAGCACAAGAGGGAGCCAGCACTCTGGTCCCTCACCTGTTTTATAATCTAAAAGCACTCCTGCTTTTACTCATTAAAAACAGCCTGACTAAAAACCTTTAAAACACCAAAGGAATCAGAAGAACAAGGTGCCATGACATGGATTTGGTGAATCAGTCTCAGCTACTTTTTTTTTCTCAGTCTGGCCAACACGTTCTCACTCCCAGCGCGTCAAAAACAAACGCTCGGTCAGCCACCCTCCGCGTCAGACCCCTGACGCCAAAAGGGCCCTTTTTCGTCACTTATGTGTGAAAAGGGGGTTTTCCCTTTTCTGACTGCAGATCCCAATGCAGTGTTAAACTGACGCGATGGGATGTCCACAGCCAGGGCACCAAACAAGCTCATTGTACCTCACCCTAACCGTATCCTCTTATTTAACCTTCCCCTCACCCCTATCCTAACCTTAACCATCTTGCTAGCTAACACGTTAGTGATGTGTCGATCGCTCTAAAAGCCGGCTCTATGAAGTGAACGGCGGGAGCCGCCTCGTCATTGGTCGAGTTTGGACCGAGCCAACGCGAGGGGGAGGTTTCACCTACCACGGTGAAGGTTAAAAGTAGAGGGTATTTGTTACCTCCCCCTCACCAGACAGTATGTTCTAATGTTCCTCTTGGGCGGCAAATACGAAAATTCAGTCAGAATGCATGGGAAACAAACGCTTGATCACAGTGAGAGTAACGTTTTAGGTAGCAAGAGGGTTAAGGTTAGGATGAGGGAGAGGGGAAGGTTATAAATAGTAAAACTTTAAGGTTTAGGTGCGGTTCAATGAGCTGGTTTGGTGCTGCATCAGCGGACATCCCAACGCGTCAGTTTTACGCTGCATTGGGATCTGCAGTCAGAAAAGGGAAAAAACCCTTTTCACACATAAGTAACGAAAAAGGGCACTTTTGGCGTCAGGGGTCTGACGCGGAGGGTGGCTGACCAAGCGTTTGT